CCCCCCCCCCCCTCCCCATCCCGTCCCCCTGTTAACACACTTACGTACCATGCCATGGGCTGATCGCAGAATGGGCATTTGCGCCTGTCGGCGTGCACCTTCTTGGCGCAAATGTAGCAGATATCACCGTGGCCACACTCCATTATCACAGTGTCACACACACGATCGTTGCATACTGACACACACATAGCATACACACACACACACACATCCAAAGAGCGGTATGTCTGTATGTGTTTGTGGACGTGTGTGTCTGTGTGTCTGTGTGCTGCTTAGTGTGTGTGTGGTGTGGTGTGAGGCCTCCCTCCCTCCCTCCCTCCCTGCTCACTGGGGCACTCTCCCGTTTGGCTGCCGGGCGTCACGTGTCCCGCCTCTGCGTGTGCCGTCGACTCGGCCAGCAGGGGGGTCTTCTCGGTCGCACTCAGCCGACTCACATCAGACGGCATCGCCACACCACCCTCCCCCCCAGCAGCTGCGGCAGCATGTTTGGACCCGGTGGCCTCCCCTTCAACAGCCCCTGTGGTGGTGCTCGTGGTCGTGGTCGCGCGCAGAGACGTGAGTGCCCCCCCGATGCCCAGAAAGGAGAACACGCCCCCGCCGCCCTCCTGCGTCTTCTTGGCTGGCGCATCGCTTGGGACGATCTCCTTGAGAGGCCCGGTGTACCGCCTGTACACGGCCCGCCTCACTCGCTGCAGATACCGGGGTCTGCGGTAGCCGGGTGGAGGGCGCACGGGGGGTTTGTAGTAGGGGGACGCCTGCATGAACTGCCGCACGGACTCGACAAAGACGGCCGATGCGATGCCGGCCAAGAGGCATGTGATGAGTACTAGAGGGATGATGAGCCAGTGAGGGGTGAGGGGCGAGACGCTGTCCGGGCTGTCCAACCACCATGAGAAGTCCATGACCCAGTAGGCCAGCATCAGGATGGTTGGCACGGTGATGAGCACCACCAGAGCGGCGTTGAGGCGCCGTTCGGCCAGAGGGGTGTCGGGCTGGTTGGTCAACTCAGCGTAGGCGAACAGCATTCCCGTGATGAACATTGCACCTGCACACACACACACACACACACACACATCGACACGCATACGCACATTGAACGCTTTAACGGAATGGAAGGGCCTTCACTGCTTTTGTGTCTGTGTGTGTCTGTGTCACTAACTCACTGACCGAGTAGAACCAGTAGCGGGGTGAATGCCGGCAGCCATGTCTGTGATAGATAGCCGTCGACTTTCAGTATGATCAGCAGCAGCTGGGTAAACGGCCAACTGCATCCATCCATCCATCCACACAAGAATGAGAGGGAGGCATTTCGTGTACATCGGCGGCCCGGCCGACATCCCTTCCTTCTTGATTCGCTTGATTGACTTACACGTGCAGTGCCTGCACAGTGTCGGGCACCCACATCCTGCAGGCATCAACGAACCAATGAATGCCACAACACACCATACCACACACAACTCTTCAACAGGCTGCCTCCCCTGGCCCACCAACGCACCCCCCCACCCACCAGCTGTAGTGTCTATCCATGACGTATGCGACGATTGCGTTGACGAGTCTGGCCATGGTGCAGGGCACTATGGCCATACTCAGTGTGTGCACCTGCACCCAGGCACTCGCCCCCAGGTACCAGCACCACACCAAACCGATGCTGCTGACGTCCAGCACCGTCTCGAGGGTCCGCAGGGCCACCAGTATGCGGTGGACCGACACGAAGGATCCGCCCCACCTGCCCGCCAGCAGCTCGGTGATGCCGCACACCACCTTGCCGTCCAGCAGACGGGCCACCAACACTACCACCAAGTAGCCGTGCCACGGCCATTTCAACACCTTCAGCACCTTCAAATAGCAGAAGAACTGCATTGGTGCATGACATGACACACAGAGTGATGGAGGGAATTCATCCTGCATGTTGTTCACGATGCGATGGATGGCAAATGAATGATCGGCTTACGGATACAAGGAATGCAGCCACGGCCGCGATGCACTGTCTGGCGCTGCGTGAAAGGGTCTCCATGAGGGTCTCGTTGTACAGCCACTGCCCTTGCTGGGGGGCGGGCTGCAGCTGCGGTGCCTCCTGCTGCTGGCCATTGGCTTGTGGCGGTGGCTCGGCAATGTTGACGCCTGCTTCAGCAGCAGCCATCGATGACAAACTACTCCCGCCTTCTCCCATTCAAGCTCGCAGGAGCAGAAGAGCAGGAGAGAAATAGGTAGGCAGGCGGCACACCTCCTGCACGCGAATGTGTATGTCGGTGTTTTGTTTGTTTCTTATATGTACACCAAAGGTCAGGTGACTGAGAGTCTTTCGCCATCGGTCCATCGTTTCAGCCATGATAGGAGCAGGTGCGCAACGTAGCAAACAACACAAGCAAGAATTGCAAGAGAAACCACACACACATGCGAATTGTCTTTCATCCGCATGGCGTCACTCACTGTGTGTTGGCTCCGTCCCTCCCGCCCTCTCTGTCTGCTGTGTGTGTGACGGCGCTGCTCAGGCATGGGTTCGTTCCCGTTTGTGTCGCCGTCTGAGCGGTGCCTGCAGATCGGGAAGCTGTTCAAGGTCCTGTTGATCGTTGAGGCAGTGGTGCTGGTGGCCATGCTGCTGTTCACGCCGTTCGAGCTGTGGATCCTGCTGCAGCTGATATCGGTGGGTTTGGGGTGGTGGGCCATCAAGGACGAGGTGGCCTACCGCCCGCCATTCGTCCAGACGTACGTCTTCCTCACCGTCCTGGGCTTCATCTTCGCCGCCATCGGGTTCGCCCAGTGGATGGGGGACACCATCAACAAAGCCAGCACCCCCTTGATCATCATCACCGTCATATACGGGTGCTTCTCGCTCTTTCTTATCGTCTGTTGCCGCTTCTCGTGGGTTCTTTACAAAGAAATGCTCTCGTGCGAACCAACCGGGCTGCAGATGGGGGCCTTCGGCCAAATGGGTGGCGGGGCGGGTCAGTCCCAGATGCAGCAGCCCGGTAGCGGCTACACCACATCGTATGCGGGCGGCGGGAGCTACTCGCAGGACCCGGCCGGGTCGCAGCCCTCACCCACCGGGGCGGGCGGGCCGACCGGCGGCAGACAAACCACAGGATTCGTACCATTCCAGGCACGGCAGGGCAGGGTGGACACACAACACAGGGGGTGCAAGCAATCTAATCTGCTGTGCTGTGTCGTGTTGTCTTGTCTGGTGTGGTTTGCTTCAGGGTGAGGGCCACAGGCTGGGTTGAGTGGGTGAGGATCAACGCCGTTTGGACCGACCGACCGACCGGTGTTTGCAATGCTAGGGGGGGCTCTCTCTGTTTTGACTGTAGCTAGCCAGCCAGCTCCGTGGACGACGGCAGGCACGTGTGACGTGTGTGTGTTGTTTCTCGGTGACGACTGACTGATGAATTCATGCATGGCCATCCATTGCATGAGTGGCGTGATTTTAATTCATCGTTGCTCATGTGGCCTTGCCCTGGCTGGGGCCACCCACCATCCATCCATTCATCAGTCAGTCCTTGGTCCCATCGATCAATCAATAGGTCCGTCCGTCACACAACACACAGACATGAGAGGTGAGCACATCACATAGATCATCTAGCAAATAGTCCATCCAGTCCATCCCCTCCAGCCGCACCCACCGCACATGTCAGTCATGTGTGCTGTGGTGTGCACGTACGTATGCAGAAAGTTAGTAAGCAGTTCCTGGCCTGCCTGTGCCTGTCGCTGCACTGCAATCCACTCGGCCATCATCATGCCATGCCTCCGTCGGTTCGAACCGACGTGCTGCATCCTTCCATGAGTCACTCGCCTGGCGGGCTGGCTGGGCACGTGAGAGAAAAAAGACAGCCAGCCATTGCAATCAATGCATATGGATGGATGATCGATCAGATGCACGCGCCTCTGGTGGGTCGGTGGGTTGTTGAAATAAAGCAACCTGTGGCTGGCTGGCTGACTGACAGACAGATGGACAGACGGCCGTATAGCATCCCTCTCGTGTGCGGGTGACTAAAAATAGCACCGTCCCACAACCCACCTCACACTGGCGGAAAAAACGTGTCCGCGTCGCTTCACATCCCTGTCCGCACACCCATTGATTGCTGCTATCAAGACATGAAGGGGAGGGCGTATGCAGGCTGTGTGGTGATGCGCAATGTGGGTCCCGTCCCGCAAGCAAAGCAAGGCAAAAAAGGGTCCATCCATCCATCGGTACGTCATCCATCCATCGAAAGCACAAAGGTAGGTGAGAAAAACGGCCAAGGCGGACGGGCGTACACAAGATGGGTAATGTATTGTATGTATAGCACTAGTAGTAGAGACAGACAGACATGCAGACTTCTGGCTAGATCACACACTCACAGGTACAGAAAGTGACTTCGGTCCATCAATCCATCTCTCTCCCTACTTGGTTCGTTTGGTGCCTCACTCCACTCATTTGGTCCGTCCACTCCATGCCACCCGATGATAAATATTCCCTCCCTCTCTCTCCGTTGGCTGCCTGCTACTCGTCACAGAGGCTCTATCTGTCTGTCCGCTACTCGAGCACTCATCGGTGCGGCCCTGTAGGACTCCCTCCCTCCCTCCCTACCTAACTCCCATTCGCTCAGGTGCGCACACACGCATAGCATAAACAAACAACCAGACAGCGGTGCACACAAACAGACACTCACGCGCAGACACACACACGCACCACGCACTCACTGGCAGACAGGCTCCCTCCCTCCCTCTCCCTCCCAGGCAGGCAGGCAGGCAGGCAGGGACGCAAAACTGGTGGATAAACTGCCGGGTGGCCCGTCACGTATGTCTGTCTGCCTGGATGTCTGTATGACTTGCGTGCGAGTATGTTGTGTTTTGTTGTGTTTAGTAGACGTATTTCTTCTCGTACAGCGACTCGCCCGCACCGCCGCCGCCAGCACCACCTGATGCACCACACCACACCACAAGCACACACAGGTGCAGTGCAGTGCAGTGCAGTGCAGCGCAGCGCAGACAGATGCCCCCGCCTGGAATACCGCCGCCCGCCTCACTCACTGACTGACCTTGGTATTTGCCGAGTTGTGCCTGGCTGTTGGCCTTGGCGCGCTCCAAAAACACCGTCTGTGCCTTGCCCACATTCTCGGGCTTGCCTGACACACACACATACACATACACATACAAACTGACTGACTCGTGTGTGTGAGTGGTATAGGTGCGGTGCGGTGGTTCCATGGGTGTGTATCTATGTATCTGTGGTCTGTACGTACGTACCTCCCCAGGCCTTGAGTGCGGATGCCTGTAGTGCGCGGCCGTACGAGAAGCTGAGGGCGAAGGGGTGGGGGCCGCGCTTGTTCATGGCGTTGAGGTTCACCGACGCCTCCTCCTCAGACTGACCACCCGACAAAAACATCACTCCTACACAAGCAACACATACATAAGGATACAACACAGCACACAGACGTACAAAGTGCTGCTGGTGGTGGCGGTACATTGTTGACTGACTAGCTGACTGACCGACGAGTGAGGGTGGCACGGTGCGGTAGAGGGTGCGGACGGTGTAGAAGGCAATCTCGCCAGCGTCTGCCTTCTTCGGGCACTCTACATCACACACACACACACACACACACAGGTCCGTCATCGCCTCTGTGGGGGGTCTGTGTGTGTGGTGTGCTGTCGTGTGGCCATCCCACCCATAGGGACCTACCAGCTCCGGGTGTGACCATGTTGGGTTTGAGGAGGCACCCCTCGAGCAGCACATGGTGGTCGTGCAGTGCCTTGAACTGAGCCGCCAGGACCTTCTCAGTCACCTCAGCGCAGTACTCGATGTCGTGGTCGCCGTCCGTCAAAATCTCGGGCTCCACGATCGGCACCAACTTGTTCTCCTGGCAGATGGCCGCATAACTACAACCAACCAAACCATCCACCGCACCCAGCAGGACATACACATTGACACAGACATGATACGTACGCAAGGCAGCTCAGCTGGGTCCCAGCTGTCCCAGCTGCCTGGTGGGCGTTGCTGCGAGAGTACCGCGCGAGTGTGTGTGCGGTTTCCTGGATGGAGAGGTTGGAGGGTTTGCCGGCGGCCTTGTCGATGGTCAGCACGGCACGCCACTTAGCGAACCGAGCACCCTGGTTGTAGTAGTCCTGGCAACGCTTCCCCAGACCATCCAGACCCTGAAGAACAACACAACACAACACACATTCAGACAACCCGATGAAAGGCGCATCGGTCGTGTCGTGTGGAATGTCCCTCCCTCCCTCCCTCCCTCCCTCACCTGTGTGGCGGTCTCTCCGTCGCTGAGTGGGAGTGGCACGAGGCCCTTGTCGACCTTGATGCCCGGGATGATGCCCTCGGCCTTGAGCAGGTCCACCATGGCCTCGCCGTTGGCCGTCTTCTGGTACAGGGTCTCCTCGAAGAGAATGGCGCCGCTGATATACTCGCCGCAGCCCTTGGCCTTGAACAGCAACTCGCGGTACGCCGCGCGGTTTTGCTCCGTGTTCTCCACATTGATGCCGTCGAAACGCTTCTTGATCGTCCCTGTCGACTCGTCGGCTGCCAATATGCCCTTGCCTGACACAAACACACACACAAGCACAAATGCAGTGGGGCGGCCTAGTGTTGTGGACGAATGTCTGCCTGATAGCGCACCTGGTGTGGCGATGGCCTCGGCATTGGCCACGAGCTCCTTGGCGATCTCCTGGTCAATCTTCACCTGCACACAAGCACACACACAGCCACCACACGCATTCACGACGTGTCAGCACCGCTCGCGTCAGTGAACAGATGCCGTCAACTTTCGGGCGGCGGGCGGCGCCTTTCGCCTTCCCCCCCAGCCTGTGAGTCCCCCCTGCCCGCCTGCGTGCATCGCCTCCCTCTCACCATGGTGTCTCAGCCGTGTGTGTCGTACGGTGGTTCACGGGAGAGTCGTGAGATGGAAGGCGCGCACAGAACGCAGCTGGTTGAGAAGAGTACGACGCAGACAGACAACCGAGGCAGATCTTTCGCGACCTCACTTCCCGTCTGCGAGCTAGCCGAGAGAGCGACGCCTGTGCAAGATAGCTGCCAGCAGCTCGTCAGCAGGCTGTGGATCTTCAAAGGTTCCAGCTCATCTCGCTCAGCAACCACAGCATTCATCGCCCTCAGCTGCATAGCCCGGCGGATTGACGTGAGTGCACTGTGCATTCATGGATCATCAGCATGTCTGAGGCAGGTGCCTTCACAGCTCCGCCCTGCCCGGCCATCGAATCCCGCCGCAGTGAGGTGATGTCACTGGTGCGCCGGGCGGTGGCGGGGGATGGGTGCGGCAGGGTGGTGGTGGTGACGTCTGGCGGCACCACAGTGCCCCTCGAGAAGAACACGGTGCGATTCATCGACAACTTCAGCTCGGGGCTCAGAGGCGCTGCCGCCACAGAGTGAGCTGCACCATCGGTTGCTTGACGGATGGGTTGACTTGACGTGTGTCTGTCTGCCTGCCTGCCTGCAGGTATTTTTTGGAGTCGGGTTGTAGTGTGGTGCTGTTCAGTCGGGATTCTGCCATCCACCCGTTTGTGAGGCACCTGCACACAGGACCCCTCAACTGCAGGCAAGCAAGAGGGACGACACAGGGCAGGGGGCGGGCCGTCGACATGTGTGTGTCTGTATGTGTGTGATGTGTGCTAAGTGCTGTTTTGGCTGTGTGCAGTCTGCTGGATCGCATCGAGGCACATGGCACACCAGACGCCGACAAGCAGACAGGTCGGTCAACGGGTAGGTGGGTTGTCAATGTGGGTGTGGTGTGGACCCACCACAGCACTGTGTGTGTGTGGATCGATGGATGCAGTCTGTCTGCGGCCAGCGTCTGACAGCTTCCATCGTGCCCTTGACCTCTACAAGAGGACCCGCGATCGATTTGTCCAGATAAACTTCCAGTCCGTCACGGAATACCTCTTTGGCCTGCAGTAGGACACACACACACACAGAGTACACATCAAATCACCCCAGCCACGTACATATCCCTTCCTCTGGCTGGCTGTAGGATGTTGTCTGAGGTGTGCGAGCCGTTGGGGGCAGGTGCGGCCTTCTTTCTTGCAGCCGCCGTGTCCGACTATTTCATACCCCCACAACAAATGGTCAGTCAGCCACCCAGGCGACCCCTTGCGGACGGACTCACACACGCCACGCACACACGCACGGACGCGACGAGCATGGACAGGACGGCTGAATGAATGTGTGTGTGTGTTTGTCAGTCCGAGCACAAGATTGACAGTCGGTCTGGCGAGGGCCTCGACCTCCACCTCAGCCAAGTCCCCAAGCTACTGTAAGCACCGCACGTAACACAAACACCTCTCGTCGGAAGTGTCTGTCGATGATGGATGGACGGATGCCGTCATTGGGTGCATGTATGTGATGCGTGCACTGCAGTGGTATGATCCGCGACAAGGCACCCAAGGCATTCATTGTGGGCTTCAAGGTAAGTAAGGTGCACATGACATGCATCCATCCCATCCCCACACCCGGCCATTGGTTGATTGGCACACACGGTGTGTGTGGCGGGTGTGTGCGTGTGTGTTTGCCGACAGTTGGAGACGGATCTGTCTCTGCTGAAGCCCAAGGCATGCAGATCACTCGCCAAATACAACCTCGACATGGTTGGCACACACACACGCACACGCACACGCACACGGACAAGAGCGCACCGCACCCTCCATGCATGCCCTTTGTGCAGGTGATAGGGAACGAGCTGCACACGCGGCGCGACAAGGTGGTGTTCTTCTTGCCACAGGAGCGGGAAATCACCATCACACGGACAGGCGAGGTGAGCAGCACAGGTGATCGGACATGCATGATACTTCATGTGCTGCTGCTGTGTGTGTGTGTGTACCTTGTAGGTTGAGCTGGAGAGGAGTATAGTGGAGCGGTTCAACGAGCTGCATGCCGCAAAGATAGAGACAGAGGCACAATAAATAGCCTTCAATGCCAGCCAGGAGGGGAGAGAGACAGCCTCGGAGCTCTCCTCGCCCACAAATTGTTGGTTGAGAGGGCAAACAAGCAATGTCTTGCGACGCTCTGCATACTTGATGAATGCAGCCCTGAGTTCGTGTTAAACATATTAGTGGCCGGGCGGTCGACATGTCGTGGCTCCTGCGAGTCACTGAGCATACGCTGCATTCAGTCAGTCAGTCCATCGGCCACCCGTGTGTCGCCAGCATGTACGTACGTACGTACGCACAGCACACAACGCATACACACAGACCACACAGATTGATTCTCATGCGGTACAGAAGAAACAACCATTTGTGCCAGCCGCCCAGCCCAAGGCTACAGCCCATCCATTCATCAACCTCACCCTCACTCACACAACGAACGGCGAAAGTGGCATACCCATCAGTCAGTCCCACTCCCCTCGGCCTCCCCGCCCGTGTCTCATGTAATACAGCTATCATGTGGTGGTGGTGGTTGTCTCGGGGCCGCCCTGGCCCTCTCGCTCCGCCTTGAGCTTGGCCAGCTCCTCCTACAGGAACGTACCACCCAGACACACAACGCACCGCACATATATACCGATTGAGTGTGTGCATACAAACTTGGCTTGAGGGGCATGGCATACGTACGTCGCAGGAGGAGACGAGGTTCTGCCAGCACCGTGTGTTGTCACGCGAGTTCGACACAAACTCCTGCACACACAGACACTCACACGTGCAGTGCAGGCAGCCCCTGCCTGCCTCTCTCTCTCTCTGTATCACTGCCTGACTGCTTACGCACCCACTTACCTCGCATTTGGTGGAGTATCTGGCGATTTGTTCAAAGAATGGCAGCCACACGACGTTGATGAAGAATATCTGTGCCTTGGCCATGTTGGTGTTGTACCGGTCGAAGATCGGCAGCGACACACCCAAACCCAGCGCCTGCTCTGCACACACACAGCACAGCAGACAGAGGACAGAACGAACAGCATGAGCGCATACCATACACATCGATCGGTCCTTGACGGAATGAATCATCAATCGCTTGCCTTTGTCTCCCTGGTCCCAGAATTCGTTCATGCACATGCTGGCCCACTGGGTGGCCAGCTGCCACGGCTTGCCTGAAAAGCGATACATACAGACAGGGAGCGACACCACACCCGCCCAGCCACCAATGTAATGGCAAGACAGACAGATATGGATCAGATGAGGGTGTTCGGTTGGTTAGGCAGCCTGTCCTGCCTGGGTTAGAAATGTCGGCAGCGTGAAGTATGACGGAGAAGAACAGCTCACGGTCACTGGCATTGCCGCCAGCCTGCGGCATGAAATCTGCATATATATATGATATGCAGCCAGCAACAGTGTACATACCTATGATATGTGTGTGTTCATGCCATGCAATGCGTGTGTCTCTCTCTGTGTGCGTCTTGTCTTGGTCGCCTTGCCTTGTGCGTCTAGTCTCGACTTGAGATGGTTCTGAATCAACGTGTGCTTGGACATGTCAGCTGCACACACACACATACACAGACAGACAGCCACACGGGTGCCGTGTGTGTCTGCAGTGAGTGACTGTGTTTGTGGGTGGTCATATATGTCTTACTGTCCAGGACCATCCTCATCGCCAGACGCCGCAAATCACGGCGCCTGATCACAAACAGAGGCACAGACATGGCTGTGCTGTGCTGTGGTGTGCTGGGGCACTGCAAGCCTGTCTGTCTGTGTGTGTATGTCGGGGGCGGGGTGGGGCGTGTGTGATACTGAACTGTTCGTTGTCCCATTGCTGGAAGAGCCCCCCGTGCGGCAGGCTGAGCAGCAGCTCGAAGGCTGACGCCACGTGGTAGTTCTCCAGCACCGACTGATCTGCATGTATGGGCCACACACAGCACAGCACAGCAGAGCACAGTCAATCCCACCTAAAGCCATACATACAGTGGGTGTAAGTCAATCCCCTACCGTTGTATCTGATTGCGAGGGGGTGGTTGCTGTTGACTGCGAACTGGTTGTTGAACCCCGGGTGTCTGAAGTCGTGGATGGCCGCAGAAAACAAGATGGCGAACACCTCAAACGGACTCATCTCCACTTGCTGTCAGCCACACACACACAGAGACACACATACATACACAGACAGACATACATACATAAGTGGGATGGCTGGGTGTGTGTGGGTGTGTGTGTGTGTGCGACCCTCCTGACTGACCTGTGCGAATTGTGCCTCAGTGAGCATCCAGAAAGATGTGTGGACCACATCGGCGGCGTGGATGTTGTTGTGGAACAACTTATTCCTGTCGTACCCTGCACACACAGAGAGAGACACATGAGCGAGCGACCAAGGACACCCAGTCCGTCAGTCCTCAATGCATGGATGGATGCATCCATCGAATCCGCACCTCTCTCGATGTAGTGAAAGAACGCCAACAGATCATCTGCTGGCAGGCGCAACTGACACACACACGCAGAGCACACAGCACACAGCACACAGCCCAGCCACGATTGATAGATAGGTGGTCGAGTGGCTGTCTCCGATTGATTCCCCCTAGGCCTGTCTGAGGCCTCCACACCAACCTGTTGTATGAGGTCGAGTTTGTTCATGAGTATCCAGCATATGTTGAGCAGCGGGTGCCCGCCGCACATGTCGCTGAACTTGAAAATGTCAAACGACATACTCCCACCACTCTCACCGAAGTACGACGCTGCCTGAACCCACCCAAGCATACCACATATAACATTGCCCTCATTTGCTGCGTCCATCCGTACGTCCAACTAGCTATCTATCGTCACCTCACCTGGGCGCTCAGCAGTCCTCGGATTCTCTCCGCTTCCTGCCGAACGCTCGTATCGCGTGGAAACAGCAACGGCTCCAGCTCCCTGCAATGCAAATCCACCGCACACAAAGCATATACATACCACGCATAGAAAGTAATCGATCGCCAACCGACTTGGGCAAGGGTGCTGGGGATGGTTGCGACTCAGAGTCGTCCGCTTCGGGCCGGTCGCCCTGCTTCTTGTCCTTCGGCGGGCCTGCAGATCACCAGAGGATCGTCCAAGAACAGACCCTGCCCTGATCAAAGCTCACTCTTCTCTCTTATTACCGTCGCGGACACTGCATGAGAACGAACACACAACCAGAGGGAAGGATGCCGAGTGAAGGAAGCATCAAGAGACGTGCCCGGCTGTGTCTCTCTGTGTGAGCATACGCGGGGCTTCTGGGAGGGAGTGCGTCGTGTGTGATTTGGCTGAGCCATGAGAAGAGCTCCCTCTCCTGGCTCAGCTCGGGGTTTCCCTGCAGCTCGCCCATGTACGAGAGGTCATCGATATACCAGTGCTGAGACGACAGCTGCTGAATCGCCTTCATGCACAGGCTCAAACGAGACTGAATCGCTGACAAAGAGAGAGATACACACACCACCAACCCAACCACACGCATCGCATCAAGCAGAGACACACGTGTCACTTACTCACACACGTGCTCGTGTGTCTATCAAGTGTGCGAGTTCCCTACCTGCCTGTCTGCCTGTCTGAGTGCGTATCCGTCTTGCTTACTGGGGTTGTTAGCGAATTCGTCCATTTGTCTGAGGTCGTTAAGGAGGTCGAGTGACTCGGACGCCGGGCCGTGGACTCTGCCCAGCGTCTGCTTGACCACATCCAACACGTGGTTGATCTTCACCGACGGGCGCTCCGGCTGACCGCCGCGGCGGGACCCCTGGCTGCCGGGGTCAGACACCTACCGAACGAAGGGATGGAGACATACGTTCATGCCATGATGGACGGACAGAGTCCGACAGACAGACAGGTCTGTCGGTATTCTTGCTTGCCTTGAGCATGTCGGCGGAGGTGGGGATACTGGGTGTTGAGTGTCTTTTCTTGGCCAGGTCTCCCCCTATCCACAGTGACGAGTTGACGCTCGACTGCACCCGCCCCTTGGTGGTGCGACCCGCCCCCAGAAACCTGTCCTGCTCGTCCTTGGCTACCACCGAAGGCAGAAACGTGACTACACCTCCTGTGCCGGCCCCGCCGCCCTGCACCGACCCAATCGATGACCCCGGTGTGAAGTCGGGGGCCGAGGCCGATGTGGGCATGGGCTTGGTGTGGAGTGAGAACTGCAGCTGCAGATGGATGGGCGAGCGGCCCGGTGCGGTGGGGGGGTTCAGGTGGGCGGGGCTGGTGGCCGCAGAGGCGGACGCAGTCGGAGACACCTGCTCGGGGGCGGTGGGCTGGCTGGGCAGCGTCTCTGACTGCTGCTTGTACGCATCCTGGCTCGTGTGTAGTGCAGACAAACAAGGGAGACACAAGTCAGTAAGCGTGTGCGTGGAATACATACATGTCAGCTCGGCATTATTACCAGTGAGCTGAGCAGCTGCGGGATGGTGGATGCATCGAGCTTGCCCGCCTCTGTGAGATGCTTCTCCAGAATCCTCTTCAGATCCTCCCTCTGTGTGAAAGGAGAGACGAAACGCGACAAAGTTAGAATCGATCTGTCTCTCATGCCCGTCTCGCTTACCGATATTGAGAAGCGGGTGAGCGCTTTGTCCCCTGTGCCCTCCCCGGGCTCCTTCCCCTCAGCGCGGTACCTCTCCTGACAGACAGACAGACAGACAGCCACACCGCACAGTAGAACCAGACCGATGGGGGCCTGCCTCTGCTCCTTCCCAAGCTCCCTCGGTGCCGCTGACTGACCAGCTTGTGCATGAGTTGAGGCAGCTGCTGCAGTCTCCCGTCGGGCCTCCAGTGGTCGTCTAGCAACTTGCGGAAATCCTCCTCCTGCACAGACAGACACGCGCACACAGACACACTCGTGGCGGTTACCAGAGGGCTGGCCCCACGGGCGCCAGGGGTGGTGCTTGTCGGAGGTAGTACCACGATGGTGTATGTGCCCAGCCCCATGACCCGCATCATGGAGTGTTCGGTTGCCATTGGGGTGGCCTCATCTCCCGCCTCCTCGCTGCTGTTGGACCGGGAAGCCTCCATAGAAATATAACTTATAGGCCGGAAGGAAGCAACAAGACCCACAACCCGATGCAGGCACAATGACCGACGCACGCAACGAATGGTTGCGAGCTTCTATTAGCGAGCTAGTCGAGCTGACCCTTTTTCCTCTCGGTTTGCACCTGCAGAGGGTTACGAAAGGCACTTCGCGAGGCCTCGATCATTGAACCACATGCAACCCGACCATATGTGTACCGTAACGTATGTGTCCTCCCCCCACCCCACCACACACGCAGATCACTGCGGTGAGTGAACAAATAGTGAGTGCATCAATCATGACATGGACTTAGGCAGGCAGGGAGAGACAGAAAAGTATGCATGTCATTCCTTCTGCCGGCAGCAGGCACCTCACCTCACCTCGGCCACAAAGACGAAGGGAACCCCGAAAACAACGAGGGGATGGCATTGCAATGCATGTGCAGTGCATGCATCGATACGTGTGGACGCACGCACGCACAGCCAGCTGCCTGCCTGCCTGCCAGATCGAATTAGGAAACTGCCAGCTCTGACTGGCCGCTGGCTGATGTGGTCTGGTCTCCCAACTCCAGCTGGCCATCTCCATCCACCCGTGACAAGACGAGTCAATCAATGGTGGATCTGATCTGCCTTATTTATTGACTGCCTGTGCTGGCTGCCTGTATGGGTGTGCGTCCGTCGGCGGATAGCTGCGACATGGACTCCTCAAACAGGTCAGACGGCAAGTGGGCGCTCCCCCACTGTGCCATGCTCACATCGTCGTCTTCACCAGTCACCTGAATCAATCAGGGCACACACGACACGACCATGGGATCTCCATACATAAAGTGGGTGGATGGATGGTGAGTGTGATAGTCGCTAGGTAGGTACCTGGCCATCATTGTCCGCCTTGGGTGGCAGCCACATTCGCCCCGGCCTGTGCAGATCGTCGGGTGGGTCGCTGCACGACCAGCTGGTGGATTCGTCCCCAGCCGCTGTCCTCCCATTGGGCGATGGTGGTGCCACACCCACACCCACCCCGTCTGGCTGCATGCCCTGGCCGCCCTCGAGCGGCCCCGTATGCCTCTCCACCTTCTCTATTGCCGTGTTGACGGGCTGCTGCGGCAGCGGGTACTTGAGCGCCTGGAAGAGGGGCGCGTCGGCGTTGCCGAGGGAGTAGACGCCCTGGGCGGCATAGGGGTACTTGGCGCCCGCCTTCTTGGGGCACTCGAACGGACACACCTGCAAATGCTTGACGAAATCTGCATGTATGCAGGACACGCAAAGGATGAACAGATAGATATCAAAGGAGGGCGAGGACCGCATTGAATTCGATGTGATATGTGTCCCTCCCTACCCGTGGCCATTCCCGTCCACAGACAGAAGCCATGCTTCCTGGTGGCGTCCTTGCCCTCCCCGCCCGACAAGAGCGCCTCCGCAGGGCTGCTGTTGGGACACCGCACCTTCAGACTCGCCATCAGCTTGTGAACCAGACCTGCAGGCCCCTTGCTGTGCTCGTCGACGTCGGTCACATCGTCGAGAGGCACCAGCAGCCTGCAGGCCGGACACATGATGCGGCTGATGGTGAGGGGCTCCGACTTGTCGATCTCGCTGTCGTGGTGGCTGACAGGTTGTGTGACGTCAGGCTGTGAGGCGACCCTGCGAGGGTGGCCGTGGGTCTCTGAGGGTGAGGAGTGGGCGGATGGGGGCTGCAGCGATGTGGGGGTGGCGGGGAATGAGGGCGGGGAGGGCGTGGTGCTGCTCACACCACCGGGGATCTGCGAGGGGTCTACATGAGCCGCCAGGTCACCCACCCACTTCTCCCAGCAGTCGCCGCAAAACACGTCGCAACATGGAAGCACCTGACCCATCCATCCATCACACACAGCCCGTCAGACCTTCTGTATGCACGTCTTTCCAGTGTGTCTGTCTGTCTGCGTGGTCCCTCCCCCGCCCACCTACCTACCCTACCCACCTTGGGTTTGTGTGCGACGTGTATGCGACAGAGTTTGCAGAGGACCTCCGGTAGCTCTGAGAGGAGCAGCTCCCCGAGGATCTTGTACGGCTGCTTCGTGGGCTCGCTGCACGTCAAACCAGCACCACTCCTGCTCATGCTGTACGTCGCCTGCGTGTCACAACAAGGTGGGCGGGCGGGCATACAGGCACACACCAATGCAGGGCACCGTTGGTGTGTGTCACGTACATCTGATTTGGTGGACGGCAGTGCCTCTTGAATGAGTGTGTCAGACTCCTTAAGGTCGCCCTCACGCAGCGAGTACTCCACCGGCGGCCGCTGGTGCACACCACCCCCACTCCCACCGCCAGGCTGACCGCCCCTGGCAAAGCCCTCAGCCGGCGTGGGGCGAGCTGCGAACAAGGGCTTCACCTGCAGCCAGGCCACCCAAACACCCGTCAAACAACGCCAACTATGTATCCATCAATCGAGGCCCTGTCGAGCTGTCCTCCCTCCCTCCGTCCCTTTGTGGCCTGGCCTTGCTTCTGCCCGTCGATACGATACCTGTGTGTGCCAGCTGGATGCGTCTTGGTGCGACGTGCCGTTGCTCCTGTTCGCAGGGCCCATCGCGTCGGCGTAAGGCGAGTAGGGCTGCCCCCGCTGCTGCTGCTGGTGCTGCAGCTGCTGCTGCAGCTGCTGCGATCGATGCTGGTGGTGCTGATGGTGGTGTGGTCCCCGGGGGATGTCATAGAGCTGACCCCTCACACCAATATGGCAAGCATTCGTGTTGTTGATTTTGTTGCTGTGGTGATGCTGGCTGCCCATGACAACAGAGGCCGATGAGGCTCCAGCAGGGGGTCCGCCATCACTGTCTCGCCTGTCGCGCTTGACGACCACGAGTGATTGCTCCTCTAGGGGCGTCATGTGTCCCCCGCCCTTGATGCTGTCGTCATGAGGCGAGGGCGACACGGCCAGCACACTACCGCCGTCGCGATTCCGGTCAAGGCTGGGGGCGGAGTCGGACGGGCCTGTGACGACGTCCACGGCCGCAGCGGCGTTGTTCTCGTGAGGTGCGGTGTTGCGATGGTGATCGGGGGCTGACTGCATGGCAAGGGGGGTGAACAGGGGTAGCTCGGAGGCTGGTATGGGGTGGTCTTCCGCCACTGCTGCCGTGGCGGGCGACTCTCGGGAGTACGAGTCCTTCCTCGCCCAGGTGGCCCGAACACGGCTGCCCCGGATGCGAATCAAACCTGACACACATACAGACAGACATACACACACGAGGATATGACATGGGTGTGTGTGTCCAAGCCAAGGGCCGGTGGGCAGCAGCTCGGCAGGATGCCTAAAGTACCTGCCTCCGCTGCTCGCAGTGCCGACTCCGCCATCGGGTGCGTCCCGAACCTCACGAAAGCGTAGCCTATCAACACACACACATTACACATAAGTCAAGTCCACGCTCGCGAGAGTGAATGCAATGCACTTGGCCTGCCCCCCCGCATGAAGACGTGCGGACCCAGATGATCCATACGTACGTACCAGCAGTGGCGGTCCACTCCTTGTTGGGGTGCCGGCTCTTCTTGTCGCACACCACCATGGCCAACTCAACAGTGCCGTACCGTCTGAACCGACAGACACATTGAAAGGAAGGACACGGACACCCCCCCCCACTGCACAGACAGACATGTGGTGCAAGGCAAGGCCTCGCACACTCACTTGAATGTGACGACGAGGTCCTGGCGTCTGCACAGCACAGAACAGCAACACACACAGTCAACAACTACTGCAGGCGTCGCATCCCAAATGGCTGGCTGAAGTCCTTACGTGGTGGTTGGCGGTACGTTGACAATGACGGTGAGCATCGCCCGACCGCCGCCCATCGACAGCAGGTGGCCGCCGCTGCTCGGCGGAGCCGCACCAGGGGCAGCAGCGCCATGGTGATGCGTGTGAGAGGGAGGCATCACACAGCTGCTGCACACACATAGGCAGGGCGACAGAACATCGTCTGTCTGCCTGTCACTGCTGTGGTCCTTGCCTGCCTTGCGAAACGCACCTCGGCCTGTGTGGATAGTTGTGTGTGTGATAGAGACCGGGCGACGGTGCCATATCGTGGTTGCGATGGCGGTTCTGCTGCATCACGTCATGACTCGGTTGTGCGTCGCATCTCCTTCCCTCCCTGGCGTTGCGCGCTTCGTGCGAGCTCCGGCAGAAAGACGTCCGAGAGGTGGATCCACACCAAGTGGACGCTGCTTGCCGCACACTTTCCCTTCGTCCCTCCCTCTCATACCGGGCCCCCCACCAGTCTCGCGTCCCCTCCTGCATGTGAGCGTTCTGCCCCTACCCCGGGCGCATCCTCACATCTCACAGCCCCTAGAGGTCCCCAGAGCGAGTGGGACGAGTCTTGGCGAAAAACACAGCCGCCCTCCCCTCCACCAACCGAGGGAGTGACCCACCCAAAGGCGGCTCTCTCTTGGCTGTTTGTACGCGAGTAGAGCATTTCCCCTGCCGGCCCTCCTCTGGCCGCCCTGCCCCGCCCAGCTGTGTCCGTAGCGGCCAAAGGGGCACACACCGCTGACTGACCGACTGATCTCCAACCAGTCCAGTCCCCCCCCCCCACACCAACGTGTGTGTCATGGCGCAGCCGGGTGTTGGGATGAGTGCTTTGAAGATGAATCTGGCCCTCACCCTGAGGGCCAAACCGCAGCACCAGGCCACCGTCACGGGCATCGGATCGGTGCAAACCAAACACACGCAAAACCACAGATAGATAGATATGTTTGTTCGTGTGTGAAGTGTTAGTGTGTTTTGCATCATGATGTGTGTGCGGATGCATTGCAGACGGGTGAGACATTGGACACATCTGCGCAGCAGTACCAGTGGCAGCCCCAGTCGGCCACTACCACCCCGCAGCGGACACCCAAAGCCAAAGCTGGGTGGGCCAAGCCAACCGACACACACCGCAGCCAGCCAGATGGACGTGGGCCGGACATGTGTTGTGTATGACTGCAGTGTGATGACGTTGGGTGACGAGAAGAGTGGCCGCATCGACAAGAAGAAGGGCGGCAAGAAGGGCACCTCCGCCCCCCCGCCGCCCTCCGGAGTCGGCGGCACCATCAGTAGAAGCGCCACCAAAGAAGACTCACAGTCGCCGACGTGACAACCACACACACAGACGGAGACACGACATAGCCGCCGACCATTGGATGAGTGTCTTTGTGTGTGTGTGTGTGTGTGTGTCATTTAGTGTCGGTGGGCCGCGTGCCCAGTCAGCTCAGCCGCAGCCAGCGGGTGTCGGTGAGGGGCCCGAAACACAGCCGGCTAAAAAGGCCGCTGGTGCCAAAAAGGGCTCATCACCAAAGAAAGGGTCAGAGAGGGACGGAGGGAAGCAAAGCACGGAGAGAGAGATGGTGCTCCGACAGCATACCCGTATGTGTATGTGTGTGTGTATGCGTGTGCTGTGTTCAGTTCTGCGAAGAAGAAGGCCGGCGATGTCAAGACGAGTAAAGTGTCGTTTTCCAAGAGTGGCGGCCGGCTGTCCGTCACCAAAATGAACATGGAAGAAGATATGCAACGACTCAGACAGGTACACACACACACACACACACACACACACCGTGTGCATGTGGTTGGTGCACCACATGCACTGCAGACCGCTGAAGGCGGCCAAGCGGAGGGAGACCTACAGGAGAAAGGTAGGCGAGGCATTTTACTTCACCCATCTTGTCTGCAGTGCATAAGTACTGACTGGCGGATGGGATAGAGCAGCCATGGAATGGACGTGACGTCTCTCTGTCACTCAGTATCGATGGATGTCGAGGATTACCACAAGCAGGCTGAGGAGCACCCACCGGGCACCACCGGCACATCAGACGTCATCATGTCCCCCATCCAGCAGCCAACTGACCAACCCGTCATCATCCAGCCCCACGTGTCGGTGCCTGTGGCGGTGCCCCCGCCCCCGATGCCCATCACCACCCAGCAGGAGGCACAACAGGGTGAGTCTTTGGCTGCGGCAGCTGCAGCACAGCTGCCGGCCCCACAAGTGAGTGTCACGCTGCCACCACCCAACAACAACAACAACAAGACACGAAACAACGTCATGGTCTCACTCCCAAGCATACCGGGTGGGTACGGTACGCCCACATCCACTTATGTACGCCAGACACAGAAACAAGTGTATGTGTGTGTGTGTGTGTGTTGGCACGACAGAGGGTGAGCAGGCCCAAGTCAAGGAGGACGAGGTCAAGGGTGAGGTTGGTGTGGGTGTGGGTGGCGTGCCGGGCCTCATCGTGACCGACAGCAAGCGCAGCTCATCCAGTAGCATGGACGACGCCACGCCCGCCAGCTCGGCCGCGGGGCTGTCGCCCGTCAAGAAGGACATGAGCAAGATGGATAGCGAATTCGATCTCGAACAGAGAGTACAGGTAAGGTATATACATATGCGGAGGGCTCATGGATGGATGGATGGATGGATGGATCCCTTCTCCCTTGTCCCTCCTCCCTCCCTCCCTCTGTCCTGCAGATGATGCAGAACAGGATGAGTGCGTTGGTTGAGGCAGTGGAGAACCGAGACCACGAGGCCATCAAGCGCATATCGACTCTCTCCCAGCATCCCGGGGCCAAGACGGCCGCCAAGCCCGACCGCGAGCCCATCCAGCGGGCCAGCCAGGTCACCAACGTGGCGCCCCAGTTCGCCAAGAAGAAGCGGGAGATGGCACGCATGGGCACCAACCCTGATGTGGCATTCGGACTGGAAGACAGCCAGGGCAGCCGAGCCGAACTCGCCAGATCGTGTCCGCCAGACCAGGAGGAGGGGGCGGGTGGTAAGCGTCGCGTGACCATAACGCTGCCGGACGGCTCTAAGTTGAAGAAGGGAGCCACGGGGCTCACAGAGTCGGGCTCAAGCGACGCCTGGGGCGAACCTGGCTCGCTGCTCGGATCGCCCAGAAAAGACCAAGACCCGGTATTTAGGAGGCTCGGGTGCATGTGTACACAGATCGCATCTGTCTCTGTCTCGCCTCGCTGCTTGTGTGTGTGTGTTACACGGTGTGGTGTGTCATGCGCATCAATCAGTTCAACGAGTCAGCCACCCGGCGTCAGTCGGTGCTGGTGACCGGGCGAATGCACTCACTTATGAGAGTCCTCAACGTATGGATGGATACACATACATACACAGAAACAAACAGAGGCGCGCAGTGAGCAGATGGGTGAAGCATATGTGTCCTCTCCTCTCCCCCTCCCTTGCGTCTGTCTGTCTAACAGTTTTTGCAGCAGGGTGACCAGGACGGTGAGATCGAGTTGGACCCGGCTGATGTGGACGAGTTGCAGTCACTCCACGTCCAGTCCACATCATTCGTTGAGGAGGACGAGCCCGCTGCCGGCGAGGGCGACACAATAACCGCCACTCGAAGACTGAAGAGGGAGGAACTCGAAAAGGCAAACTCACACCACACCACACTCCACTACACTACACATGAGACACGAGACACGACACGCAGAGTGCAATGAATGACTGAATGAATGAATGAATGTCCACATACTAGCTATCGTCATTATGACGTGTGTGTGCAGGAGTTGGATGTTGTGCGTCAGCGTGTGGTTGAGCTTGAGTCACAGCTGCACGGCACCAAAAGAGACACAGACACACTATCAGAGGCCGAGGTCACAGCTAGCTGTCACATACATATACATACCACACATACTACACCATCCAACACATTCGGCCCACGAAACAAACAAGGCCTTTCTGCGTGTGCAGGTGTTGCGCACCCAGTTGTCGGGTGCAGAGGAGCGGCTTCGCGAGTTGAGCCGTCGTGCGGCGACCTTGGCAGAGCAGGTGGTGAGCCTGCAGGCGGAGAACCAGACGCTCCACACATGCCTCAAGGACCAAAAGAAACACCACCAACACGAATGCGCCGTAAGCATACATACACACTTGATGATTGGGAAGCGTGTGTATGCTCTATGATGGATGTCATGGCTGTGATGTGCTTGATTCGACAGCTGCTGACCAAGGAGTTGCAGGAGGTCCGGCAGCACCTGGACAAGTGCCGTGTACAGGCATATGAGGTCAGGGGGGGTCCCCCGCACCCATACATACCATACCCCCCACAAACAGACAGCACACAGATTGTCACGTCTCTGTGTATGTGTATGTGTCTGTGTGTATCTGTCTGTCTGTGTTTGATTGGTGGGTCGATCAATCTATCAGATGTTTTCGATGGAGATGGACAACGGCAGGGCCCGGCCCACCGCTGCTGGTGGTGGTGGTGGTGAGCGGGAGCCAGGTGCCAACCTGAGGGGCTTGGACGAGTCGCTCATGGGCAGACAACCACCGGGAGACCTGCAGGTATCTGATAGACAAACTCCCATATATTCGTTTCTCTCTCTCTCCATCATGGGTGTGTATGTATGTATGTACGTATGTATACATTATCTTGGCCCAATCAATGGGTGCCTGGCCTGCAGATGTTGCTGTGTGGATTGAGTGAGACCCAGGACCTGCTCAACAGCCTGCGGCAGTCCATTAAGCACAGCCCGCGGTTCAAGTCACCACCCCCCCAGCCGTCCCCCAGGACAGTGGCACCCTTCGCCTCAGCATCGGTCGCCAGCCTCAGACCCACACACTCCCCGCTCATCGCCAAGGTCCCTTCCCCCGTCGTGCAGCGCATCCACTACAAAGTCATGCAGTCGCCACCCCCATCCCCCACCCTCCCCCACCCATCATTCAAGCGTCCCCGAGGCTCATTGCAGCTGGAGCAACACCCGCCCCCTCCGCCCTTCATCCGCCCTCGCTTCATCCAGACGGAGACAGTACCTGCTGTGTCTCTCTCGGCACCGCCCCCCAAGAGCACCTCCCTGCTGGCCAACAAGAAGAAAGACCACAGGGGAGACAGAGACAAAATCGATGCAATCGACATCGAGACCGCCGTGAGAGATGTCAAGCACACCCACCCACTGCCGCCAGTATCCGGCAGCCACCCAGGCAAGCAGGCGGCCTGCACCATCTTCCGATGCACCAGCCCCTGCACCCCACTCAACCAGGGGCCTCAGGATTCAGCGAGATACACGAGGCAGTTCCCCAGGGACAACACCACCATTCAGATACGGCAGAGATCGCTGCGTCCCCGCCCAGAGCTGATCCGGCCTCCTTTCAACCGTCTGCGGCCCGCCACCCTGTCTCCCCCGCCACTCAGACCCCCACCGCATTTCGGTGGAGGTCCGATGAGGCCGCCCCCCGGCCTACTGATGTCTCCGGGCATCGGCCGGCCGCCGCCCTTGTCGCCTCGTGTGAGTGTGTTTACACAGCAGCATCACCGCTACCCGGACCAGCAGCCCAACCAGCAGCAGCAGCAGCAGCAGGTGCGTGTGGCGATATCGCCCTCACCGTCCACCAGTGCGTTGTCGCCTCCACAGCTGAGACCGCCGCCACCCACCTACACCTACTCGACCAGTGCCTTGGCCAGCTTCCCAACGCCGGCATTGGGCACACCTGAGCCGCCGCACACCCTGCCGGCGGCGGGGGCAGGTAGGTAGAAGGGCCCGCTGGAACGGGACATGACTTGACTGGGGTGTGATCATGTTTGGGGGTGTGGTGGTGTGGTGTGGTGGGAGACCGAGTGATAGAATGCTGTTGCCTGGTGGACTGGGTGGATTGTGCTCACTGGTGCTCGAATGGGAGTGTGTGCATGGGTGTGGGTTCGGTTCAGGGGAGGCAGTCGGAAAATGGCGCCCGTCTGAGTGTTGGGTGCCGTGCCGTGCCAAGCCAGAGACGAGACAGACATGCGTGTGAGGACTCTGCAATCCAAAGTTGAGGCGTGCGTGTGTGTGAGCACAGCAGGGTGTAGATTCTTTTTCATGTATATGTCTGTAAGAGTCTCGCGCAGTGCAATGACCGACAGAGCCAGTACGTACGTACGTACGCACGTGTACGAGCGTACCGACCGTCCGCCTACAAAACACCCAGGCGAGCCCAGCACTGAATGGACGGACGTATGTACGCCACGCCTGTGTGCTGGCTGTTTGTCTGTTCATCGCCAGTCAGTCAGTCAGTCACGAGGCGAAAATCTCCTAATATGTACTCAGTGAGTGCAGATCAGACGTACACCGCGGCGGTGTACGTCTGATCTGATCCTCCGCCGCCGGCAAGTTGCCGATACGCATCGCACCGTGTAGTGTGAACAGACAGACAACCGTGATCGAGGGTGGCAGGCGAGGTGCAAGAGGAGGCAGTCGGTATTCCTTCCATTCAATGTCAGGGATCCATAGTTGCGTCCACACATTCACACATAACATACGTACGTACATAACACGCACACCCACCCCACCCACATCTCTGTCAGCTTGGCAGACCGAGACCTCCACCCACCCACCCACCCCCTCACCGCACCGGCCCACCTGGGGGGCCACCAAGGGCGCGGCGCCCTTTACTACTTCACTTCACCCATCCATCCACCATACCATACATACTCGCACC